GGTTTAACAATGACAGTCTGAGTTGAAAACTTGCACAACTAAATGATCCTTATACCGTTGGATTATCAAATACCACCATTCCAACAGCACATTGTATATTGTAAGCGGCAAACGGCTGAGCGTTACCACTGCATAAGGCACAAGTAGTCCGGCAACCGTTAAATCACATTCTCTATCAATGCTTTTCTGCCATCACCATGACATCACTATTGCACCGGGTAAACATATGCAGAAATAACTGATATTTGACACATTTATAGACAGTAAACAGGCTTTTCAGATTCACAGGTGAGACATTTTGGTTTATATAATCGTATTAAACAACTTGGAGCTTTGCGATGTGCAGTTTTAACTCCTTGCTGTTTAATGCTTACTTAATCCAGTGTTTTGCTGCTCCGGATTTAGTGACAACCCTGTTACCATGTTTTGGCTTATTGACAACATTGTGCCTTGTGTTGAGTAATGTATCATACCTAAATGATGGAGCACGGCCTTCAGCTATTCCAGGAAGCAGTCGTACATCTCAGTCTAATGGAATTATTCACCAGGTTGTTGACTTAGTGTCAGCTTTAATAAAAATGGTGATCGAATTACAATATAAAAGCCTCCGCCTGTTTGTAAACTTTTCTCATCTTTCACAGTCTTGATTAGGATTAATGATCTTTGCTTTTATTATATTACAGGTGCAAATTGTAAATTGAAATTATTCTCTGCAGTTAAACAGTTTGATGCTTAGTCTTATGTTGTGGTATACTGACAAACAACTATATAGCCAGGAGAATCTTACTAAATTAAAAATGAGCTCTCATTGTGTGCTTGAAGGCAGAACATTTATTGTAGCATATCTATTAAAGCCTAAAGTTAAAGATAGTTCATTGTAAACCTATCCATATAAACTAGCACCAAGAGCAAATATTTAAGGTTATATATTATACAAAATTGCCTTTTGTGAGCTTTAAGCCATGTTAAAATGTTGTTACTGCCTCGAAAACATTCCCAGAGTTTTGTTTCATTTACACGTGTTGGAGTAATCCTTTAGTATTGGGAAGTCTACATCTCCAAATTAACACCTACCTTTTACCTTTAGTTCAGTAAAAATTGATAATTCCAAGGCTGAAATGATTCAAATCATTTTAGTGAAGATGTATGGAGTTTAAAAACACAGTGGAGCATTTCCTGTATTACCACATGACGTCAGCTAGTTTTCTGTTTGAGAGAAGTACTCAATCTAAACATACAGGATTTACGTGTTAAACATATGAATGAAACAAAACACAACTCTAATATGTTTTTGGCAAGGAAACAACATAATAACATAGATTGGAAATAGTGTAATAATGACCCTTTAAATAAGAAATTTTAAGTTATTACTTTTAGGAATATGTGCAATAGTGTCTTTACCCAGATATTTGCCTACAGCCATTACCAGAACTGCATGCAAATGACAAACTGGACTTAAATATTTTCAGAGGTAGCATGACCACATGGGTAAATTGAAGAAAATATAATTATGTGTTCTAAATGACATTATGTTGCATATATTTTTAAAGGAGTTCACAACTATCTTGATAAATTGTATGTCCATTGAAAAGTGTTTTACGTTGTGGTTTTGAGCTTTTTCTTAGTTTTGAAATCAGGTTTGAATGATTGTATTATAACAAATCTACCATTGCTAATGCTGTATTGTATTATACTGTACTATCCAGAATAAAGATCATCCATAATTCAATTCAATTCCAATTTGTCAAAGCTGCTTTATCTTGGATATAGTTTTATTGTTTGTTTATCTGAACCAAGTCTGATTCACACGGCGGGTCTTGTCCTGGGATTCGGTTCAACCCACTTCCCTTCATTTGACAAACATCAGAATAGCAGTTTGTGTTGTTCGGACATAAACACAGCTTTCCGTCCAATCCCCTGTGCCCCTCCCTCCTGTCAGCCAATCATGGTGCACGGTTTCAGTCCTGTTTACCTCTCTCACGACACCGTGACTGAGACCAGGTCCAGCTGAGAGACCTCTTGGGAAATAAGAGACATAGGGTCTGGATGTTTCCTCAAGGCCGTAGTAAACAAACAAGTGCTTAACTCTGATGCTGAGTGCAGAGCTATAGGATTCCCCTCCTGTCAGTGACTGTGGGGGGTGTTACTGCAGTAAAAGCAGTAATCATATGATCATATTTCATAAAGTGCACGGATTATAACGTATCTACTGTTATCCACTCAAAAATAATCCCTCCATTCAGATTCAGGACTGCAGTCACGACTGGTTCTGCATAATTATTTTTTGTTGGTGCTATTGCTCTTGGCCTCCTTTCAGTGTTTTTTTCTGGTTAAAACTGCACTATGTGACTTTTGTGGTTGAGGATCAGCTTCTCTCCAGTCAGGTCATTTAGGTCAGTGAGGCTAGGGCCATATCTCGAAGGGCCATAGCCTTCACTGAGGCTAAGGGCTATATCTCAAAATATATTAGACGTGGAGGGCCACAGACAGATGATCAGTACAGTGAATCATGTATATAAGTGGATTTAATATAACTTTGACAGAACAGGTATGCCTTTAATAAGGAATGGAACATTAAGTTTAGTTCTGTATCACAGAGCAATGTGATGTTATTGAGCTTATAGTGGTAGAATTACTTAAATTTGCAGTTTCAATTACTGCTTGTGATCTATTAGGCCATTTTATCAAGAGACCTGAGAGCCAAACAACCTGGTCTGATGGCCGCATTTGGCCTTCGGGTCATACTTCACAGACATCCCTTATTTAGGTGATATTGCTTTGCTTTATTGTTCCACAGCATGGCACTCTTCTTTTGCCATGGTGATAAACAGGTGAGGCCACAGGCCCAATTTAAAGGTTGGAGCTGTAAAAATAGCTTTTTGGTCACAGAAATGCTTGCCTGGAATGGTCCAAAGTATGGCATTAAACATATTTCTTTTTCATTCTATTACAGGTCCTCATTGATTCAAAATGTGCTTGAAAAATGCAGATTCTTGTAGTGAACAAGGTCACCTCTCTCCACAAATCTGGTCTATAACTCACCTGCCTGTTTCTGGTGTCTCTATGGACATATTGTAGATGGCTGGCAAAGTACCCTCCACCAGAAAAGTTATATAGTACATCTTTAACTATACTACCAATACTAACACTACCATGACAGAAAACCTCTCCCATCTTACCTCATTGTTAACAGCACAGACTAAGCACATTTAAGTTTAGTTTCTGTATTTTACACTAGTACTGTACTCACTTTTGCATTGTTGGATTTGTGGTCTCCTAAAAGTGCAATTAGTTTTTGATCACACCACTTCTCTTCACTGTAAACATGGGAGGAAGTGTTGAAAGTACTAGCCCGTATTATTATGAAGTATTACAGTAGTCTGAGGTGTGGGTTGACGCAGAATAGCATGTCTGTACCCTGTTATCAAGATCTGTCTGGAGCTGCATCACACACACAACTGTCACTTATGTGCTCAGACTCCACTACAGAGGAGTAGCAGTGGGTTTACTCTAACCGTAGTGTATTATTACTATTATGAAAGCAGATATATTGTGTTGATTTAAAAGCACAACGCAAGCTTTGAATTTCTGTAATGAAACCATAGGCTGTATATATAAATGAACACAGCTAACCCACTAGATGCCACGTTCCAAATAAGAAGTGTTCATGTAGGAGGGGTGCTTCTGGCTCTATCAATGCCCCTTTTTGGCTTTACATTGAAAAAATCCCCTTTCTCTGCAGTGAGGCTCATCATTTTGGTCTTATAATGTTCTTATTAATCTGCTCTACATGAACCTGTTTTTTTCCTTCTATTTGGCTGTAAATAAATTCACAGAGTCACCAGCCATATTACGATTTCAGTTTTATAAGTTCTTGTAAATGTTGGCTAATATTTTTTATTGCTTTGAAGAGGTTCACACTTCATTGCAGTTGGTTAAATCCACTTGTTGCATTGTTGAGGCTGACCAGTGAGAGGTGTATATTATCACAGAAATGAGATCATACATTACAATCACCCAACCATAATTTGAGTGTATTTAAAGGGTCCATAGTACGCTACTTTCTGATCTATGTGTGTTTTTTCTTCATGAAAAACATACAGTTGTGTTTTGTTTTATTCACATATGTGTGGCACACGAACCCTGCATATCTAGACTGAGTTCTTCTCTCAAACAGCAACACTCTGTTCCACCTTGTGTAAAAGGCTGATGACATCACAAGGTGGTACAGAGTGTTTTGAGCTTTGGAGATGTAGACAGACTAATTAAGCAGGATTACTAAAACATGTGAATGAAACAAAACACAACTCCAGGTATGGTTTTGATGAGGCAACATTCTAACAGGGCACAAGAGTCACAAGAGTCAATTTAGCTTAATATACCTTTTAAATAAAAAATAAACCAATGAAATAAAAATAAATTAACTATAGTTCTAGTCTGCAAATGCATACTGTCCACATTTTTATTGCTTATATTCAATACCCCTGCTCCATCCTAAGATATTATCATGGTTTTGTATACGCTAAGACAGCAATATCCTGTGAGGAGCAGTGCTGATCTGCCTTAAAGCTCCACCTTTGTACCAAATGAACCCAAAGCCAGTGTAGCTCCTGGACCAGTCTGCAGAGACTCTATGCAGTCTCCTCTCTCTAAATCCTTCACTGTTTAATCCACTCCCCTCCTCCTCTCACTGTAATCTCCTCTGTCCGCACACCATCCTTTTACAGTTAGTCTAATGAGATGGCTGCTATTTGGCTTGTTGAACTTGTAAATCAAATTATATATTACTTTGTAATACTACCCTTGAATTTCCTTCGGTATCTATCTATCTATCTTCTCTCTCTTCTTTTCTCTCTCTCTATCTTTCTCCCCCTTTCTTTCTCTCTCTCTCTGTCTATCTATTTGCCTATCTGTCTATCTGTCAAATGTGCATTTACAAACTGAGCTTTGATGTAATTGACACTGGCTATTCTAAAAAGTTCTTGTTTTTGTTTGTGCAGGTGAGCCAAGGAAATGTTCCTGGGGTGGAGAGTGCGTCTTTGGCCATGGATACAGAGGAGGGTGTGGAGGTGGTGTGGAACGAGGTGCTCTTCTCTGACAAGAAAGTCTTCAAGGCACAGGAGGTACGGCTCATGCTCAAACACAGAAACATACTTTAGTTTATGAAATTTTCTGGATTTTCAGCTGTTGAATCCTATACCAAATGTGATCCAAAATAATGCCTGCATTTTTATAGTAAGAGCATTGAAATATTCCTTGACGCTCCATCAGCAGTGGGTTTGTGGGTGAACGCTCTACTAATGAGCTCCTCTTCTCTACTCATAGCCATTTGCTGTCTGCTGTGCACTTAAGATGTAACCTGTCCAGCAAGGTGGAGTCTCATGATATTTGTGAGTTCAGAAAACTCACAAGAATCCATCTTGGAATAGGCCCACTGTGAGCTTAGTTGGCCGGGGCAGATCAATCACAAAGCAGAATTCAGGTTTGTGGAGAAGCCAGAGGTGAACCTCCTAAATGAATCAAAACATGGTGATGCTGACAGACATACTTAAGCCTATTTTAGCATCAATACAGACAATTTTCTTTGTTAAAAACATGCAGAATGTAAGTCCGTGCAATTGTGGAGAAAGAAGATGTCTGCTTTTCTCTCAACTGAATGTAACAAAAGTCAGATTTTTCGGGCTGTTGTGTGCTATCAGATTTAATCAGATTTAAATAGTTGTTGTTTAAATAGCGCTACACATATTAATCTGGTGTAAACCTGATTACATAAGAACAAAGAAAGTATTGATAAAAAGTGATGTTAAAGGTGTGTATTTTGCCCAAAGATATGTTGAAAAACATACAGTACATTTTAACAGTTGGTGGCTTTAGTGCACCTCTCCACAGATTTGACCTGTCACTTAGCCAGGTGGTGCCACCTGTTTGCTGCCTTGGAGATAGAAATGTTGAATCACAAACCATGGAACATTCCAGGCAAAGCATTGACATCTCAATAAAGAGACAGGTGTTGTACCTGCCACTATTACAAAGTGTTTGCATTACACATCACTGACAATGCAATATAGCACACTTTCATATTGTCCTACAGTTCAGTACAGATCTTGTAAAATAGAGATTCTATTTCCAATGTATTATTTTGTTCAGTCCTTTTAAATGTTTGATATTGAAAATTGTCTAATCTTCAGTTATTTAAAATATGTTTTTAGGATAAAATCAAAGAGATGTTTGAAAACTTGATGCAAGTTGAACACCCCAACATTGTAAAGTTCCACAAATACTGGCTCGACATGAAGGAAAGCCAGGCTAGGGTAACTATCCTTCTTTTTGATGCTGTTGTTGTTGTTGTTGTTGTTGTTGTCTATTCTCTTTTAAATCTCATAATCCTATCTTCTTTCTTTGTAGGTTATTTTCATCACTGAGTACATGTCCTCTGGCAGCCTCAAACAGTTTCTCAAGAAGACCAAGAAGAACCACAAGACCATGAATGTGAAAGTGAGTGTGGCTGACCCCTGCTGGTGGTATACAGTACCACAGCGTGCATCCCTGTTGACATCTATATTTTAGGCAGGATTAAGGATTATGTAACACACTACCATGGCCCACTGCAGACATCTTGTGGGATTGTGCTCCTTCATCATAAACTCCTCTCTTTATTATTTTATTGCATTTTCTATCATTGGTTGCAGAGTTGTACATATTATTGTCTTTTTAAAACATGCAAAATATTTTAAATTGACAAAATATCTGCATATTTTAATTTAATATTTTTTGTTCTTTAATAGGGGAAAGTATTAAAAGGTAAACAAAGACAAAAAAAAAAACATGCTAATGTAATTCTTTAATGTCATTCTCTTCACAATAAATTACACGAACATAGATTATATTCAGATTAAATTAAGAATTACTATGATTTTTATTTTATTTTTTTACATTTCTTTATATACTATGCATTGTTTACATATATACTTAATTTTATTAATTGTTCAGAGAGTTCCAATGTTTTACACAAACAACTGCAAATTTAGAGCCTCTTTACTTCTAGAATCCTGTTTGAATTTGTCTTTTTATTTACTGCAGGCTTGGAAGCGATGGTGCACTCAGATTCTTTCAGCTCTTAAGTAATAATTTTCTCTGTCTTTAAAAAAATATTTGTGTTATAAAGTACAGTATAGCTGATTCTATTATATTGTTATTTATTTGCAGTTATCTACACTCGTGTGACCCACCAATAATCCACGGAAACTTGACCTGTGACACCATTTTCATCCAACACAACGGCCTCATCAAGATTGGCTCAGGTCTGACCCCTACACGTGTTTTTGTGTAACTGCAGTTTTGCTTGCTTTTAATTATACTGTATTGTGAAAAGAGGCAATTAATGGCATTTGGCTTTCATTAAATGTAATTCTCTCTCCGCAGTGTGGCACCGACTATTTGTAAATGGTAAGAAATAGCTTTTGCAGTAGTTCTACTTTGTTTTATGTATGCTTTGTCAGCTGTGTAATTTTATATTTAGTATACGTTTGTTTACATAGTTGTGCAATTGATGTTACAGTGTTCCCAGATGCAAGTGTCCATGGTAAGGGAAGGCAGCACCGCGATGAGCAAAGGAATCTACACTTTTTTGCCCCAGAGTATGGTGGTAAGGAGTTTTCAATTGAAACTTTTCATGTAAATCTGAGATCAAACCCTGGACTAAATTAGGGATAAATTAGGAATTAACGTAGTGTAAAACTAAACCAGGAACCAGATCTAAAATCCAGCCAAACCATGGTTAAGGCACTTTTAATGGGCCCATGTCACTATTTTCTGATCTATATGACAGTGTTGTTTCCTCATCAGACCTGGAGTTGTGCTTTGTTTCATTCACAAATGTTCAACACACAAACCTTGCAGATTAAAGCTGAGTTAATCTCTCAAACAGAAAACACCCTTTTCCAACTGGTGATGTCTGTGGTTATACAAGAAGTGCTCCACTGTGTTTTTAAATTTCATACACCTTCACTAGAATCATTTGAGTGTTTTCTGCCTTGAAATTACCAGTCTCCACTGTACCAAAATACAAAAGGTGAGCTATGAAGACATATCCAGACTAATAAACCAGGGTTGCACAGACATTTGTGAATGAAACAAACAACTCCTGGTATGTATCTTTTAACTGGACAAAATGTATTCCTTCTTGAATCATTTTAGAATCATACTGAACTTTATCAGAACTAGTAGGCCTATAAGATCACATGATAACAAAGAAAGTACTAATGTTTTAGGTTGAAAATTGCTTAGTATCGAAATCAACTGCAGAGGTCCAGTGAGGAGGGCATTTTAAATTTCAAGTTATCTTTTGTCATTTGTGAATGTATTTGTTACATCAACAGTGACTTCTTTCATGATTTTTAGCTTGTGCAGATGATTACGCCATAGACATTTTCTCATTTGGCATATGTGCTCTGGAGGTGAGAAAAAACATGTCATTTGTATTTTGTCCTTCTGTGAATGTGTTAATGACAAATTCTGGTTGTTTTATCCAGATGGCAGTTCTAGAGATCCAGGCCAATGGAGACTCTGCAGTGTCCAAAGAGGCCATTGTCAATGCAGGTCAATCACTGGAAGACCCTCTCATGAGAGTAAGGTTCATAATTTCTACTTTTAAAGAAGAAAATGTAAACTGGAAACTTTAAACCTAACCCTAAGATAATCGTAATCCTTACAGTATTCATATTGACATAAAGTGAATATATTACTTCTTACTTGATACCATATATATTTAAATTTTTTTATTCACTCTGTTATGGTGAACTGCTAATGTATTCATCACAGCTGCACCTGGCGCTGGGTAACAGAGATGTGGCTGCTAATGGGCTATAGCCTCTCCAACTAAAAATCAATATCTCATTTACATGTCACATTCATACCTGAGCAAGGTTAAGGTGTGTCTTGTCCAAGGACACAACAATAGTATATGCACATAGAGTAGATACATAAGTGAGGAATAACTTGGGACCACTGCAAACCATACTTTACAATGAACTAGGTCTGTTTTCCACATTTTAAGATGGTAAAAATCAGGTACAGCGCCTTTAAAGGGCTATTGCACTAATTTCTTTTCTGTGCTATAATTGTTTCCTCACCAAAACATACCTGGAGTTGTTTTGTTTCATTCACATATTTAACACACAAATCTGGCATATTTAGGCTGATTTTTACTTTCAAAAGTATCATTTTATCCTTGCATTTTCCAATCTCTACTAAACAAAAGGAAAAAGGGAACTCGTAACTTGAAAACTACCACTTCATGACATCACAAGGTGAAACAGCATTTTGAGCTTTGGATATTGTAGATATACTAATAATAAAAGCTTACTCAAACACACGTGTATGAAACAAAACACAACTCCAGGTATGTATTGAGGAGGTAACAACATTATAACATAGCTTAGAGCTCATTACAGTCAAGTTTGTGTAATGAAGGACCTTTTAAATGATTTGCTCTCCATCATATTTTTAACAATACTGTCTACTCCTCCTACAGGAGTTTACCCAGTCCTGTCTGCGCCATGATGCCAAGCTCCGTCCCACAGCTCACGACCTTCTGTTCCACCGGGTCCTGTTTGAAGTCCACTCCCTCAAACTGCTCGCTGCCCACTGCCTCATCAATAACCAATGTGAGTGCCCCCTCTCATATCCACCTCCACACCACATTCACCAAATTGTGCCAACACTTACAACATTCACCAAAATTACGACTTAACTGGGATATAGGAAGAAACTAAACCAGGACTAGAACAGGACCAAACTGTGCTCAAACCAGGATGAAATAAGTGCAAGTGTGAATGTATCCTATATTGTACTTACTACTACTATTTGGATTTGTTTTATAAGAATTCTAGTTTTTTCCTTGATAATTTTTATTTAGCTGACCTTTTAAATGAATTTTTGTGTGTCTGCTGACAAAAATCTATACATTTTGCATTTTAGTCAAAAATACTAAACATGAGTATTCTTAACTGAATTCACTTAAACTTTTTGTAGATATGTTTTTGGAGTGTACATCAAGATTAATTATATTATACAGTATACAGTACTATTACATTATATTACCCCATTGTACTGGACAGTCCTCATAATAACTTTATTCGTTGAACTTCTAGACATGCTTCCAGAAAACTGCGTGGAAGAGAAAACCAAGTCCTTTGACCCTAATGCGGTAATGGCTGAAATCAAGCACGACGACAGACCAGGAGTGCAGCTCAAGTAAATCTACAACTATTTCTATCGTTAACATTTAAATGAACATTAACATTTAAATGAATAGGAAATACATATTTTATATTTTAATGTCTATTACAGATATTCTCATGTATCTCCATTAGAACTTGACAAGTTTTTAGAAGATGTAAAGTAAGTTTAAGTAATTTATATTAAATAAATACACATAATTCTGTAGGCATTATTAATAAATAGGTGTTGTTTCCAGGAATGGGATCTATCCTTTAATGAACTTTGCGTCTTCTCGGCCACACCCCGTCCCACGAGCCCTGTCCTTGTCCCAGGAGCAGGTGGAGACAGTCAAGACACCCACGCCAGAACCTCAGGAGACCGAGACCAGGAAGGTCAGATACATGTCATGAAAAACAAAACATAAATCCTCTGCCCTCCATCTGAAATTATTATCAAATTATGAAGGCAACCTATAAGAACTGTTCTCTGTGTGCAGGTTGTTCAGATGCACTGTAATTTGGAATCAAATGAAGAAGGGACCAAAACACATGTGAGTGGCAAATACTTAATGCACAGTGCACATAGTGTGGAATGTTCCACCTATAAAACTGGTAATAATACTCTGTCTGCTGCTTTCCAGCTATCTCTGTTTTTAAAGATGGATGACAAACTTCATCGGCAGCTAAGCTGTGACATTCTTCCAAGTGAGTGTGCATATAGTACCGGTGCATTTGTATTTGTATTTGTATTCTTGAAGCTAAAAAGCTATCGTTATTGTTTTAGCTGACACCTCCAAAGACCTTGCAAGTGAACTAGTTCATTATGCCTTCATTAATGAGGTAGGTTTAAGAATGTGACATACTTTGCATGCACATTTCTTATCTCATGCTCTTTATGTTATCACACAGGAGGACAGTGACAAAGTGGCCGGCTTCCTGGAGGATGCCATCAGTCGGCACCGGGTGCGAGGGCTTGTGTCTGCAGTGGCACAGTGAGCAGAGTGGCCCTAGCAGAGACCCTGGGACTGGGCCCCTGCACTGAGCAGAGGACAGCTGAGGACACACAGCTGGGACAGGGAGAGCAGAGCCCCTGTTGTGGAGGATGTGTAAAGAGCCACAGTGCAACAGTCTGTGGAGACACTCACCCAGCAAGCAGCAGAAGCACGGCTCTGGTGGCTCTTCATTCCCACATCAGTCCAAAGTGGAACATTAGCAAACTCCCTGTCTAAAGGGCTATCACGCCTTACTCCACCATGCTACTCTCCAGAATAGGTTTACTTCGACTTAAGAGACAGCAGCTATCTTTTATTTTGTAGGTGATGATGAGCCTCATTTGCTCTCTGTCTAGTTTAAAATGTGCAAACAAAGCTGTAAAAGTATACCCCTTTCATTTTCAGGCCAAAACATTGATTTTTAAAGGAAGATGCCCATCCACCACATGCTGTTAATAGATATTCATCTTTTTGTGTTGAACTATGAACTATAGGGTCATTGTGCAATGCCCACCTTTCCATAACATACCATTTCCACAAACTTTTATGTCTGTCAAGCCTATACACTATTACGTTACATGGCCATGTAATATATCTCCCAGTTCTAAAACATGCCACATGTCTCAATTAAGGGGAAAGAGATTCTGCCTCTTTAGCCCATAGTGCTCTTAAGGGTCTAGCCCTGCACAAGTATTATAGAAGCCAAAGACCTGAAGACAAAGTGCCTGCATGGCAGCCTACAGCATAGAATTGGCATCTTTCTCAATACACATTTTTTTTTATTCAAACAAAAGGTTACTTTAATTAATGTATGTTTTTGGGTTTTTTTTATATTTTATGAAAAAAATCTTAGAAATTGCTGTCACTTTCAGAGCAGCATCTGCTATGCACACGGTAAATTGATTCTGGTAAAACTATAGGTAGAATTATTTTAGGGTCCATTATGAACTCAAACCAAACATAAAATTGCCATAGTGGGTTAATTATTTGTATTGATCGTTGTATCCATTTTTATGAACTAAAAGGATGTGCTCTTTTTACATGTGTCTTAAATGCTACCATGCTGTGCAGTATATTTGCATGGACATTGTCATCACAGTCATGATGTGATTTTGCCATTTTAAATTGATTTTCCTGTTTGTACCACACATTTATGGCAACATTGCAGAATGTACAATATAATATATATAATGCTTGGTTTACAATTCATCACATCCAAAATTTGGAATGTAATTTCCAAAACAATTGGCAAATGTCCAACTTACAACATATTGTTGTTTGTTACCTTTATTTTGTCTGTTTAAATAGTCTCTCTTTGACTGTAGGCCTACAGTATTGCAGTTGTCAGTTGTCAAGCAATTATTTAATAATTATATAGCTGAGTCAGGGGACCTTTTGGCAGGTTTACTCTGACATTCACTTAGTTCAGGCTGCCATTGTTTGTGGCTACTGGCTAGTAGGGCGTTTGCCTACAGCAGAATCTCTACAAACCAGTAACCAGCCTCATGTTCTCATTTGATCTTGCAAACAGCATGTCTTAATATCCTGCACTGTGTGGCTGCGTCCATTGGCCTAATACTGCATCTTGCCTAAATAAAGTTTCTGTGAATCATCAGAATCATCAAGATTCTGGGATCTGAAAAAGAAAATGAATGTTTTGACTGTGCAAACAAATAAATAATGTCCATTTAACTATTATTCTGTGAATATGTGGAATGGAATTGGCCTCTGAATGTGTTCTATAGGTACTTAATTAAATATTTGTAAAATGTTGTCTAGGCAATGCAATTAATTACGCAACAATAAACAAAGTGAGAAATATCATGAGTTGGCAATATTATTGATGTATTTAAAATAACCTACCATTCACTCTTACCACATTATTATTTTTTTTTATTATTATTATTTTCCCTCCATGGACCACAGGCGCGTAATAGACTGCACTGTCCGTGTACGGTAGGCCTATTAGTGGGCTACACTCTTGCTTCATGAAAGAAGGCTATAATAAGATAACACTCGATATTATTCACTGCATTGATATTAGAGATCCATGCCCCCCACACACACACACACACACACACACACACACACACACACAATTACGATTGCGCCATTGCAAATGTTCCCAAGTATCGCGATACTTTTCATTGAAACAAAACAGTTCTCGCGATAACTGCAAACACTGGTGGGCCTTGCGGAGAGGGTGTGCGTATGGCGGTTACAGAGACTGCGGTAAATAGAAAATTTAAATTTTTTCATTTATTACCGTCACCTTAGCTTCGCCTTCCTTATGCAAAAGCCTATGTGATTGATAAGACTCATATACCACAACGTTAAAGACAAAATATTTGTTTGATGGACGGGTTGTAGAACTGAAAGCATAGGCGCTAGTTAGCTTGTAACAAACGTTAGCATAACGTTTGTTATAAGCTAATGCGTGGTCCTGCAGAGTAGGCCTCCCCAGTGTAAAGACCGTATACTTCCGTATACTTGGTCGTTTCCCTCGAGATGGCTAATGAAATCTTGTTCTCTGCATGTGTCTACGATTGTGTGTGTGTTCATAATGCGACCGTGTTCCTTCGAATGTTCTCGATCATTAGAGACAATCGAGTTCTTGTTAGCAGTGCGCCTACAGAGGCTAATGCTACGCGGAAAAAAGACGCGCAGACCTTGTGTCTTTAGGTACCTGATGTTTGCATTGCTAGTCTGAAGGAATTTTCTTTCCCCCAGAAATAATTGAATCGTTAAAGCTTCTGATCCACGTTGTCCTGCTCACTGTGGACCCGGGGATAGCGGGTTGAGTAGGTAAGGAGTACCGCTCCTGCCGCGTTATTCTGGTGCATGTAGTAGCCTCATTATGTTGTCTCAGGGATTTTGATTTTGATCAGTTCCTGTGTCGCGAAATACGTGGTGTATTGTGGTTGAACCTTATCATTTAAACGAACTAAGTGGTAGTTTGAATCACAGGGAGGTGAAACGCAGAAGATGGAGAATGGACAAGGCACAGGCACCAAGCTTGGCCTTCCGCCGCTCACCTCAGAGCAGCAAGAAGCACTGCAGAGGGTAAGCTATGCTTACACTGAAAGGATGCATCAATATTCGTATATTTTTCTATGTATAACACATGTGTAATATGTAACATGTAATTTATAATATTGCATTGTTGAACCTTTTGTTATTAAACATGTATCTGTTTCTTTTTAGGCCAAGAAATATGCCATGGAACAGAGCATTAAGAGTGTTTTGGTGAAGCAGACCATCGCCCATCAGCAACAGCAGCTCACCAACCTGCAGGTGAGATGCGTTTCAGTTTATAAAGCTTCTCATGAGTATTTTATTTCATGTGTGGTCAATGACCAACTGTAGACAGCCAAATCAGTGTTTTCTCCCCATTTTGAATGGCGCATCAATAAATCCTGGCTGGAAGTAAACATAGTAGGGAGCCTTTCTCTTCCCCTTTCTTCCCTTCTTGAGGGATCAGCAGTAGACAGTGCGCGCTTGCATTTGCTTCTGTTTCTTTCAGATGGTGATCTTCAGCAGAGGCTTTGGTCGTGATTGAAATAACTGTCAATAATTGGTCTTTATTTTCGTTTACTACTGTTCACTGGTTTGTTTTAAGTTGGGGACACAACTCTTCGAACTGTTTAGGACTGGCGTTCTTATCTTTACTTTGGTCTATCTAGCAAAGCAAATGCCGTTTTATCAGCTAAGGGATATTTAACCTACTTTTCAGCACTTTTTCATCTTTACTGTCTTTCAGATGGCAGCAGTGACAATGGGCTTTGGAGATCCTCTCTCACCTTTACAATCGGTCAATAGATTATTAAATTATTTTTTGTGCGCATTCCAATTAAAAAAGGACTGTTACCCTTCTTTTACCAGTTGCCTTTGCAACAATCCATGCCCTTTGTCAAGAATGCATATTTTATAAGAAGACATAGTCTTGCACTTTTTTTCCTGAACTAGTCTGTAATTCTTTTCTGGGTAATTTGTAAAACGCTGTTGCTTTCTTGAATGGTCTACAGGCTTCTTCTTCTGCAGTATTCAAACAAGATGGTAGTCAGTATTTTAGGCTGTTCAGATTAGAGAGCTTTTATAGGTAAAGTTATGGTCTTTTTGAAAAATATGCATTTGTGCAGTTAAAAGAACAGTTGTTGGCATGGGATGAAAGAGGGATATCAATCACTTTGGACCAAAATGAGAGAACTATATGACAGGTCTTTTTGGCCATCTCAAAGTCAACCTCTTTCTGTGTGAAATTAAATTGTCATCATCCCATTATGTCATCAATTTAGCTGCTAATATTTATTATGAATAAATCTCAAGCAAAAAAAAGTTGCATAGCAACTTCTTTGAAAAAATCCCCATCCACTTAAAAGAACACTCGAATTGCTTTCAGCAAGACTTAAAATGGATTTTATTTTCTTTTGTTATCTTACTTGCATCCATGGACTACAGGTTAGTTGATAATGATGCCAAAAAATTAAAGGCTGTATGTGCATGTGAAGTGTTTGCCCCTTTGACTTGTTCACTAGAAACAGGAAAGAGGCAATATGGTGAAAACCAACGAGGCCATCACCATGTACAACTCGTAATGCAGAGTTGTGCTGAATGCTTTATTTTACTCACCTTTTACTTTGAATTGGCCTTTGTTGGTTATTTTTTGGGGGGAAGCACATTAGAAAAAAACAAATCTTTTTTTAGTGTGCGTGTGTGTGGTTGCTGCTCTTCTTTATAATCCTTGCACTTATTAAATTTTTCCCCGTTGGCAGGTGGCAGCGCAGCGACAACGTGCACTAGCCATCATGTGTCGGGTCTATGTGGGTTCCATTTACTACGAGCTTGGTGAAGACACCATCAGACAGGCTTTTGCCCCCTTTGGTCCAATTAAGAGCATTGATATGTCTTGGGATTCTGTTACAATGAAACACAAGGTCAGTGCAGTATCAATATTTGTTTTACTATGATTTTAAGATGAAGTACATCTTTTCTAAATACATTTCAAATGGCAGGGTTTTGCTTTTGTGGAATACGACGTACCAGAGGCTGCACAGTTGGCTCTAGACCAGATGAATTCAGTCATGTTGGGGGGCAGGAACATAAAGGTGAGTCCTCTTTAGATTTAGCACCGTTATCATTATTGATCTAAAATAAGTTTGTTGACAGTCATTCCAATATTATAATTTAAACATGGTTTCAAAACTATGTTTCATTTTTTGCTTCTATACAGTTTTATTGTTTTAGTTTTTTTGGGACACACTAATTTCTTTTTCTTTTTGTCTGTTTGTTGATTTCAGGTACGTGTTGTTGTGTGTCATTGTGGTGTGTGTCTGCTGTGTGTTTGCTTCCATGATGTTGCCAAGGCTGCTAGTGACGAGCTCCAGTTAGACGCCCTGCGGTGTCACGTGCCTCTATGTCCATGTTGTGCTGATGATGGGCTGCGCCTGGTTGGTGTTGCTTGGCCGCCCCATCTGTAGTACAGATCTTTGTCCCTACGAGATGAGGTTTAGGAAGTTTACAGGGCTCTCTTTTGCAGTTAGGCAAGAATCTCAGGGTCACGTATTAGCAGTACTCACTTCTGGTAACGTTCGGTATTGCCACCTGCTCAGCTAATTGAGCTCCAAGTGCTCTGCATTTTTGTAGTTCCCCAGCAGATTAAATGGTGGCTTGTTTTAATAAATAAAACAGGTGACGAGACTCGAAGTTTTTTTTTTTTTTTAAATAGGCAACCTTTAGGTCCTTATTTTTCAGTATACAATCTCCACCTTTCCTTTGGGTAAACTGGTAGGCCCATCTCTGGAAAACCTTAATATTAGTTGTTTGGCTGAAAATGGTGGCTTTTCCGAAGTTATCCAAGCAGCCTTAGACTGCGCGCCTAGTTACACCTATGAACCCCCTACTCAGTCGCCCTACTCGTATGATCTGTGCTATAGGTTGGGCGCCCAAGTAACATCGGTCAGGCGCAACCCATCATTGACCAGCTGGCAGAGGAGGCACGCGCATATAACCGAATCTACGTGGCATCGGTCCACCCTGACCTGTCAGATGATGACATCAAGAGTGTGTTTGAAGCCTTTGGAAGGATCAAGTCTTGCACGTTAGCCAGAGATCCCAACTCAGGGCGGCACAGAGGCTTTGGCTTCATTGGTGAGCTAATGGCCCCCCAGTCGCTTGTGCTCTTGTTGATGTTACTGTCATAATGATGCACTTACTGTATTTACTTCTAGAGTATGAAAAGCCACAGTCAGCTCTGGATGCTGTATCTTCTATGAACCTCTTTGACCTTGGTGGTCAGTACCTACGAGTAGGCAAAGCAGTGACCCCACCTATGCCATTACTGACTCCTCTGACTTCTACAACACCCGGGGGCATGCCTCCTGCAGCGGCTGTAGCCGCAGCAGCAGCCACTGCCAAGATTACAGCCCAGGCAAGTATCATCGCAAAAACAACGTGAAGGCCCTCTAATCTGCAGTTTATCAGTTAACCCTAATTTAACCATGTGCAAAAAAGCCAAATCTTTCATTAAAAACAACTTTTAGCCTTTAATGTGTTACCTTGATTCCCGTTAAGAATATCCATGGTGAGATTACTTTGCATTTTAATATCATTGTTGACTCTGCTGCCCTGCTCTGTCTCCCTGTCTCCGGTGTCTTGGGCAACGCTCTGTTAAGGAGGCTGTAGCTGGCGCATCTGTTCTGGGGGCATTAACAGCCCCGCAACTTCTTGGGCAGCAAATGGGAATTCCTCAAGCTGTTATGGCAGCCCAGGCACCAGGGGTAATCACAGGTAAATAAAATATTTAAATTAGGAAATTTGTACAGTAAGGGTAAGGTATATAATATGTTCTGTTTTTATAATGTCTTCTGTTTTATATAGAAGTAGTAATAGTAGCAGCAGTAAAACTGAAGGACACATTACAAGTTAGAGTTGAAATCTATATTGTAAAAAAGAAATATTATCGGTCGTGAGACATTTGAGTTGAGTGCATTTAATACGTGCTGGGTGGAATGTTTTTTTTTGTTTGTTTTTTTAAGTGGCATACTCTCACGTTTAACAGGTGTAACTCCAGTGCGCCCTCCCATACCTGTACTTCCCCAAGTGGGTCTGGTGAACCCTGTGTTAGCATCACCACCAATCCTCTCTGCCCAGACACTAAGCGCAAATCCACAGGAAAAGAAAGAAGAGAAGGAGGAGACGCTGCAGGACGGAACAGGACAGGAGATGTTAAGTGACCAAGAGCACATGAGCATTTCTGGCAGCAGTGCTCGACATATGGTCATGCAAAAACTGCTGCGGAAATCTGAGGTAAGGGTTTTTCCATTTCGAATGTAAGGGACTTTGAATTTTAGTTTGTAATATATCTCTCTGTTCTGTTTTCATTTGTAGTCTACTGTCATGGTGCTTAGAAATATGGTTGGACCAGAGGATATCGATGATGATCTTGAAGGAGAAGTGACTGAAGAGTGTGGCAAATTTGGGAATGTGAACAGAGTCATCATCTATCAGGAGAAACAAGGAGAGGAAGAGGACGCAGATATTATTGTCAAAATCTTTGTAGAATTTTCCAATGCTTCAGAAATGAACAAAGCAATATCGGCTCTTAACGATCGATGGTTTGGAGGCCGCAAAGTTGTTGCTGAAGTGTACGACCAAGACCGTTTTAACAGCAGCGACCGACTTTCTGCATAAACTCTGGTTCACCAACCTCTTACAAACTGTTGCATCTAAAGTTTCAGTCTGCAACTGCAACTCTGGGTGTAGACCTCTGAAACTTGTAATTGTTTTTTTTTTTATTATTAAATGTTAATAATCCTATTATAGGGTTAGACAGGCGTTTGTCCTAATTCTGCTTTGTTTGTCTGTCAAAGCCTCATTTCTTTTTTTGTGCAAAATTGTTTTTTTGGATTTTGCTGAACATAGGCTTCCTGCTTGTCTGCTCCAATACTCTTTATAATAAATTGATAAAATATGTACACACTGTCTTTCTACAATAAAATATATTCTTTGTCCAATTAAATACCATAATGCTATGTTTCTACTGATGTAGTGATTGATGCCGTATGCACGGGTGTCTCAAACATATTGCATGTATTATAAAAAGAAGAGTGGTGCATTAAGCTCTGTCCGCCACTGGGCGTCGCGCCACAGTAACGTTAGACCTTTGCTGTGCTCCATACTGTTGGACTAACGCGGCGGTGCTGAAGTGAGCCAAGCCCAGCCCCCCACACTCTAAACCGGCCTGGCCTGCCCATGGGCCTGCCTCATCCAGGGGTGGGAAGGAAGCGCGACTCCTCAGCTCCTGCTCTCCGCTGGCGCTTCACTTACGGAGTGATTGAAGAAAGAGACGGACGATTTCATTTATGGCACATGTAGGATATTATGAGGACGTCTCGAGAAGAAATCAGAAGGTGTTTTTCACAGCCCAGAAGTGAAGAAGTGTTGGTAAAGACCGCTAAAGCTGAGCACAAAGACGTTCAGTGAGCTGCTAGCTTTCGATAGCTAACGTGAACCACAACGGGCTTATTAACAACAGTCGCAGTGGATAAAGATATCGCGTTGTAGTCGATTGAGGGCTTTTATCTAGTTTTATGATAAGTTTAATTACACCTGTACGTTTTAATTGGGAGCACAACGATGGCTTGTTTCAGCTTTATCCATTGACTGAATGATCTCTGCATAGCTGGGCATGTTCTGCTAGTCAATGCTGAGCTTCAACGTGAAACCAGGATGTGGTACTAGCAAAACACGCATTGTTGATCTAATGTGTTTGGACATTTATAGTGTGAGCGATAAAGTGTCTTTGGAGGAGTTTTTTCGTGTGGGTTGTGATTCCCCTGCGGATGGAGTAGATCTCTTACTACCTTGCACCTGAACTGAAACCGGGATACAACCAACTCTTCTGAGGGATTATTTTGTACCTAACAGCTAAGTGGATTTCGGCCTCCTGTTCAGGTTCGTCGTGGGAGCACCGTAATTGTTTTGACTTGGGTCAGGCCGTTTCTGCATTGTTCTTTCTCCCAGCGGACATCCCTCTTCACCTCCGATGCGGAGAATTCAGTAGCACCGGCAACCACGACCCCCAGGCGGCCGGACATGCTCAAGTGTATCCCCCTGTGGCGGTGCAATCGCCACGTAGAGTTGGTGGATAAGCGGCACTGCAATCTGCAGACGGTCCCCGATGAGATATACCGCTACAGTCGCAGCCTGGAGGAGCTGCTCCTTGATGCCAACCAACTCAAAGAACTACCCAAGGTAACTGTACCTCCCACAATATTCAGTAGAAAAAACTCTACGCGTCATATTTTACAAAACACACATTAAGTGAGATACTGACAGGTGCATCCTTTTGGTAGCAGGTACAAACTCTACAGCTATCTCTGTTATGATAATGTGTCTGGCCTGTCAGCCTTCTATCCCATGTGGTGTATGACTTTGGATCAAGTCCAAAGGTAAAAGGCGTACTCCATATCATACATAGCCGATTGGTTGTAATTTTTTTAGATGCTGGGGATTGGGAACATTTCACACCAAAACAAGTGGTGCATAGACCACTTGGGCGTTTTGATTGGATGCAGAGTGGGAAGGCATGTGTGGAATGAGCTGTAATCCTGTCCCCACCCACACGTATACCATTTGAAATATGACAGAAGTGCACATGCCGAGCCAGAGTTTATTTAAAGAGAGGTAGTACCACAGTATTGGTTGTGGAGCGGGAGTAAAATGCTTATTTTGACTTGTGGCTTCTTGTACTCTGTTAGACTCTGTCCTTTGTCAGGCTAAGGCACTGATTCTCATTGTAATGAAGCACAAGGATCTGTGTGAATGCTCAGGTCAGTAGAAGTCATTCATGGGCTACTTTGGTTGATAATGAAGCATTATAAACCAGTCCAGTCTACAGCCTGAGTATGGTGTCTTTTAGAACAGAACTTCTGTGTTTTTAAGTAATGTTGAACAGAATGGCATTATAATGAACTCAACTTTTCAAGTCTATAATAACTCGACATCATGCAGCATTCCTAAAGTCTGCTTTGTGACATTAGTGTAAAGTCATAAATCCATCATCTTACAGTTGTATGCAGTGAGCAGACTCTAACCATGCAAGTCCTCTGGGTGACGTTGTCAGCAGGGAGTCGGGTGGTACAGGACTGTCCCAGACATGTCAAGCACGAGCCCTGTATGAACCCAGTCATTACAAAAATAAGCACATGTAGTGGTTGTCCCGGCCCATGGACAACTACTGTGCATGTGCTGCTGTCCCTCCCTCATGTCACTGTGTTCACTTAAGATGAGACTGAGTGCACTTGTCAGTTGTGCTTTAAGTCTGATTTTGTTCAGGCATAAGCTCTGATGAAATGTTCAGTTGCAAACTATTCCAAATCACTTCTGCATTTTTACTTTTTAAAGAAGTTAAAGGTGTAAAGGGTGTTCGGGGCTGAACAATTTGGAAGAATCTGAAATTGTGATTTTTCAGACATTCTGTGCAATTCAATTTAAAATTTTTATGTTTTTAACTGTAGGAATAATTGTTTGGGCATGTGGGTAATTGAGGCCATTGAAAAGAAAAGCAATTGATCTTGCAGTCCTAATTTGGGGCAAAAGTGTGATAACTAATGTAAGTACAATAGTCATATCAGTTGTAGTTCTTATTGTGAGCACACTTTTCTTTCAATGACAAGTCTACAGACAACACGCTGTCCTGAGTGAAGTAAATGGGACACAGTGCTTTTGGGTGCACATCTATGTAGCATTAGCTTATATTGGTACGGGTTTAACTTGGTCAACAGATGGAGCTTTAGATGTCCTGTTGGTTTCTTAAGTTCTCCACTCACTCCAGTGCTTTGCCCCCTCCCTTCCCAATTATACTTTTCTTCTCTTAAAGGACTTTACTAATGTCTCTGTTCTTAAACGGTAGCAGTTTCAGAAAAGCATGGAATGAAGTTTTGTTTTATTGTGTTGAAAGTTCTTGCAGATATTTGGCTTTGTGAAATGGAAGTAAAGATTGTTAAGTAGCAGCTGGTGAGGAATTCCCCTCTTCATCTTTAGCCCTTAATGCTATGACGAGTCTATTTACTTAATGCACATGGCTAATCTCTGATACCACTTATGTGGGCTGTTTCTCTAGCTACAGAAATGCAATGTTTACATTTCATTTTTGCAATGTGTAAAATTTATTTCACTAGTTGGAGCATTCAAACAATCTATACCTATAGGCATTGAAAGGCATGCTTCCCCATTTTGCTGTCCCTGATCTAAAAGACTTGTTTCACAGTGGAGGAAGAGGGAATTATCTTTTTAGGCATTCTCGACTTCAGTCCCATGACAACTTACAAAGAATCCATTCATCTGTGTTGTTGCTCCCCTCATATCCAATGTCATGGGTCTGTGTTTCTAAGTGCTCTGCTCCTATCTAGGCCTACATTAAAACGACAAAAATCGATCCCACCTCAAACTATGGTTTTTCAGCAGTGCTGCTGCCAGTGCACCTGCTGAGGAGAGCAGTGCAGAGCCAGAGGGGAGGCAGGTGCATGGTGCAGTGGCTTCATGTACCCGGTGTAGGGTATCTGTTAGTCTCCATTTCCCCATTGTCAAAAAAGGGAGCATATCCCAAATGGGCGTGACTTTCCCAGTAGCCATAGTTATTTTATTATTACTATTTCAGCATTCATGTGGAAATGTGTAAATCCCATTTGGGCTCTTTCCCTAAGGGTTTGATATATAGGGCTGAAGGATTTGTGGAAAATATCTAATTGCACATTTTCTGACAAGCATTGTGATGAGATTTGCAGTATGTTTTAATAGTAGGATACTGTTCAAAGTTCACATTCTAAACATGTTCAGAAGAATTAACAAAATGACTGACATTTGTATGCATCTAAACTAAACATTTTTTACAAAGAACTGTCATGTAGTGTTACCTAAAGGGCACATCCGTAAAATACTGCCTGAAAACCAATGTCTAAGATGTGCCTTTCCACCCTTTACGTCTCCATTCAAGCAGATAAATGCCCAGATAGAAATCTCTTATCTGCCTCAGTCCTTTGTATAAACTCGTGCTTGGGTTAAGTGAAGCTCACATTAGAGTCATCTTGTGCTCAATTGTTTGTTTTACCTTCTTTCAACAGTGTAATCCTGCCTGTGGTGTCATTATTAAGAAGGGTGTTTGTCAGATAGTAGATACTTCAGGATGATTGAGTTTGAGTTAAATCTATGAAAGACTCTATGTGACTATGCACTGGCTCTTAAAAATGCTGGTATTGTTGGTTGCATTCATAAACCATTGCTAAACTTTTCAAACAATGTAAAGCTTTTCTACAGTTTGTAAAATCAACAGACATCGATGGTGGACTGTGTAAAGTGTATTCTTTGCATAGCTGATGTAGGATAAACCTTTCAGGCACACATGCTCTACCTGCAGAACCTCTCAAAACTACATTTGACTACAAGAGCAGATTCAGCAGGTTTCTTTGTGTGAGCCGATGACCAGCTGGTCCCACATCCTGCCTCCCTCCCCCACTTCTCCGTCGGGACAGGGGACTAAGAGCGTGCGCATGTGAAAGAGACACAGGAGAGGTGCCCAGGAGCATGGGGGCCCTGGCACTTCCACAGGCCTAGTGAGAGCCCAGAGTTGAGCCTCATTGATCACTGCGTCACTGGGATTCTGTTCAAGGAGCTGTACCCAATTGTTTTCATGTAATAAAGGCAAATCTGTATTGAGCCATTACAGACCTCTAAGCAGCTCTGGAGGTCAAAATGAGACCACTGTATGCTGTCCTCATTTTAGTTTTATCATCTGCGAACCAGGAAATATGACTGATGCACTCTTGGCATGCTAGCTGTTGTTAGCATTACACTGACTGAACTCTCCTCTGAAAGCTCTGAAAACTGCTCATAATCTTATCACAATGAGCACTAATTAGGATACTAGGAATGCAATAGAAAAGTGAGGAATAATTTTGAATTGCTGCAAACAGTGTAAAATAAGCAAATTTAGTTTTTCATGATATTAAGATGAAAAAAATGGCTAAAGTGACCTGTTAATGCCTCTTATCCATCCAGCAGCAGACATGAGGCTGACATGGAGCGTCAGGTGGAGAGACAGGAGTGGACAGTGAGCAAATGGCCCATCCCTCAGAGACTTCACATACACAAGTTAAATCTGCACCCAACCCCCTTTAGCTCCAGCCTAAGTATGTTTACATGCAACGTTAAGAGCCCCAAACTGTGTGAAGCTGTCCAACTGAATTTGCTTTGACCTTATTAGAAATGCACTGAAGAAATTCAAACTATGTGATTCTCAGTTCTCTCCTATGGCTGCTTTGGTCTGGTCTGGTCTGGTATAGTGTTTGGCAATAGGCTTTTGTGAAGAATAGAGGACCAGCTAGGTCTTTCACCATAACGACTATATCAACTTATCGTTCAATACATGATGATGGAGCAATTATTTTTGGGTCAGGTTTTGTCGTGGGTACCTTTTCTTTGCAGTAGTGAGACATTTTTGGTTTTTTTTTTTTCCAATGTCTTTATTTTTTTGTATATTAAAGCTTGGGTTTTTTTCTCATGTATTTTGAGCAAATTTGCCTTAGTACAGACATATTGTATAAGTAACTATTGAAGTCAAAACAAGTCCCCTGTGCATTGTCTTTATCTATTTAAAATCACATTTTATTTTCCGATAATCAGGAATTTCACTGTTGCCATACTATTTGTTGCTAGCATTACCATGTGAGTAAAATGCCTTTCTAGCCTCTGAAAGTTGTGAAAAGCTTTTATAAACACATTGCGGTGAATAATGAGGATGCTTGGAATGCATAAGGTAAGTGAGGAATGACTTTGGACCACTGCAAACTGTAAAATGGACTAGTTCTGTTTTTCTAGTTCTTGTTCTGTTTTAATATCAGAATATTCAAGTTTTTCCCACCATCTAAACGAGCTTCTAATCAAGCTTGTATGAGAAGAATTGGTACCTGCATGAATGAAAAACGACATTTAGTTTACATTTGCATAGAAATCCCCATCTCTGAGTGACATAGGGAAGCTACTACAAAAAGAATGGCACACTGCACACTACATTCAACTTGAACATTTTAATTTGCTTCCTGTGTTTTTCAAGTTTTTGTTTGGTTAAAGGTAAACAAAGAGGCGAGGCTTTGGTGAATAATGTATGAGTGTGTTAGTGGCAGCAGCTGTGCTCCTGTGTCGTGGACAGTGGCTCTCTTTGCCTTATGTACACTGCATTGCGCACTGTCAACTGG